GATTTGCCGTCCAATTAAGCAAGTTTTTGTGAAGTCTCTACGAGGCTGCTCTCTACCCGAGGAATTGAAGGAGGCTATTGTTTGTCCCATTTTAAAAAAAGTTGATAAGCACCTCCCTGATAACTGTAGATCGGTCAGTTTAACGAGCGTGCTGGCCAAGTTATTGGAAAATCTCGTGAGGGACGCTCTCGAAGGACACTTGAAAGCGTCTGAGTTGCTTAATCCTTCTTATCACGGTTTTCGTTAGGGCTATTCTTGCCTTACTAACTTGTTAACCGCTCGTGAACACGGGGCCGAAGCCGTTGATTGCGAGAAAGCAGTGGACGTGCTATTTATTGGCTTTTCCAAAGCTTTCGACACCGTTCCACATTCGCGCCTTTTGTACAAGCTGTATTCCTCTAGTATATCTGGACCAGTCTCACGACGGATTTCAGCTTTCTTAATTGTAGGGGAAATGTGTGTGCGGGTGGGTTCAAGCCTGTCCTTCCTCCAATGTGTTCTCAGTGGCGTTCCGCTAAGTTCGGTTCTTGGCCCCTTCTCTTCACTTTGTACGTCAATAACCTACCTGATGAATTGGGTGCGCCATCCCTAGGGTTTGCGGATGACTTGAAACTCTGGTTCACGATAGACAAGTAGAGTGGTACACAGACCCTTCAGGAGGCTCTTGATAAACATTGGGACTGGCCAACTTTGTGGCAGTTGCCCGTGAATTTAGCGAAATGTTCTGTTTTACGCGTTGGTCCGAATGACCCATCGACACGTTAGTTGCTTGGTGGCAACGAGGTACCCAGAGTCCAACACCAATCTGACCTCGGTGTTTTGTTGTCATCTGACTTCAAGTCCAGTGAACACTGGAAGATAGCTGCTCGCGAGGGCTTCAACATGTTGTGGATGCTGCAAAGGGTCATTCGGGATCATGACCAACGATATGTTCGTTAGACTATTTTCGGCTTTTGTAAGGTCGCACTTGGAATACTGCGTCCAGGCTTGTCCTCCATGCCTGGTTCGTGGTAAGATGGCAGTTGAACGAGTCCCGCGATCCGGCACGAAAATGGTGCACGAATTAAAGAAGCTGACCTACGCGGAGAGGCTACGTATGTTGGATATGTTTTCCATCTATTACAGGCGGCTTCGGGGCGACTTGGTTCTTACGTTTCGTATATTGATGGGTCAGATTGGTCCTGATTTGATTGGACTGTTTCGCCCAACTCGACTGCCAACCCTTCGTGGCCACCCATTAAAGTTGCACAAACCCCGGTCTGAACGGGTTTGGGCAACTTTTAGGTTATCGCGTAGGGTTATGGCTTACTGGAGCACATTGCCTGCAAACGTTGTAACGGCACCGACGGTGAAAGGGTTCGAGCATCAACCTGACGCTCTCGGCCTGCAGTTTAGAGTCTTCCTCTTCGTGTCTTAAACATTTCTTCGTCTACTGCGGCCTACGCTTCTTTAACTTAATATTGCCTACGATATTCAAATAGCTTGTCTTCTCCTCTGTTTTCTTTTCTTTACTGACACTACTGTTTTCTTTTATTCTTCACGTGGCCGGCACAGCGGTGACTGCTAGTGCAGGGCACGTGGGCATGGTTTGGTTGACCACATAAATCGTGTGTGTTGATTTGGCTCTCCTATGGCATATCGAGGCACCGATTTCCCTGTTGGATCAACGACGTTTTCGAAGGTGGAACATTCGCTGGATTTTCTTACTGTTCCGGTCCCATTTGAACTTGAACTTGAACTTGAACTTGTCAAGCTTCTTACAATGCCCGCGAAGACCAGATAACCCAGCAGGACTAAATAGCATGGACAAATCAGGTCCAACCTTCGCAGTCGAAATACGATAGGTTAGGATTAGTTTCCCTCTAGTCCTTCGACAGTGTACTGACTGCATCCCCAAACTAAGTAGGCGTTCGGGGTACGGTTGCCCTCGTAATCCCTTGACCAACCTAATACCGACACGCAACACCCTTTCTAGCGCCATTTTGTCCCGGACAAGGCATGGTGGACAGGCCTGGACGCAATATTCTAGGTGGGGTCGTACACCCGCTGAGAAAAGCTTCACAAACACATCAGCGGTTAGGGTCCCAAAAGAACGACGGATAAACCACGACATCCGGAACCCTTTACTAGCCGCCTTCTTCCAGTTGTCGCCAGAGTGTAGTGTGGAACAGTGGACGACACCTAGATCAACCTGCTGAGTCACGTGAGGAAGTTCACTCCCAACAAGCACATAACGCGCGGAGGAAGCAGACGCTCCGATGCGCAGCACCGAACTCTTTGTCCGGTTTATGGGCAGCAACCAAAAGACAGACCATTCCCAGTCTATACAGAGCCCTTTGAAGAGCCACAGGAGTTCCAGGGATATCAACAACATTCCAGAGCTTTAGGTCATCAGCAAATAAGGGCGATGGTACCTCAAACTCCCTCGGCAAGTCATTAACGTAGTGTGAGAACAGCAGCGGACCTAGGACAGAGCTTTGCGGAACGCCGCTAAGGACAGCCAGTCGAAACAAATGACTGCTTCCCACACGAATACACTATTCCCGTCCATCCAGAAAAGCTGACACACACGGAAGAGCGCGAACAGCTATTCCATACGACCTCAACTTCAGTGAGAGTCGCGAATGGGGGACAGTGTCAAAACCTTGGCGAAGTCAATGAACATCACATCCACCGCACGTCCACTGTATACGGCTTCATCCCAGCTCTCACGCGCTACCAGCATGTTCGTCTGACACTAAAATCCTTTGCGAAAACCATGTTGCTCGACTCTAAGCAGGCTAAACATATTTACATTGTTCTCCACTATATCTCGTACTAATTTTTCAAGTAACTTAACGACCACGCTAGTCAAGCTGACCGGCCTGTACTTAGCCGTTAGGTCTTTGTCACCGCATTTGAAAATCGGGCAGACAACAGCCTCCTTCCATTCGGTAAGCAAGATACAGCTGTTGAGTGACTTCTGAAACACACAAGTCAGAGGTAAACTGAGTTTTGCTGTCAGTTCATGCAACGATTTTGGATGAACGGAATCTGGCCCGAAAGCCTTGGTTGGGTTTACCTCTGTTAGCCACTGGCGAACTTGGGGCTCAGTTACAGAATTTCATCAAGACAACAGTCCTCAGAGAATCTTAAAGCTAACTCTGTGCATGTCGTATTTGTTTCGCGGACAAAGACGCACGCATGCCTTGTCATAATATTTATAGGCCTGGTCCCATCCCCTCGAAGCAATGGTGGTATGGGCGAGTTTGCACCACAGCGTCGTTTAAAGTAAGCGAAGAATTTGTTAGGATTTTTCGAGGCAGTATTAGCTAAGCCCATTTCATAGTGAAGCCGGGCCAACCTAAGATGTAGCTTGCACTCATTTCGAATCAACCGATACATGTGAAACGTGCTGTTCGACGGAACTGTTCGGTAGGCTCGCAAGCATCCAGACCGCTTCTTTAGCAGGCCCTTCCCCGCGGAATCCATCCACGGAGGCTGCGATCTCAATTTCCTTCTTTTTACCAGCGGGCTATGAGGTGCAGAAATGTCTACGAGGTGAGCCTCAAGTTTTTCCAGGGCTGTGTGAACAATATCGGTCTCAGATATCACACAAGGCGATGACCTAGCTTTATCCCGCATCGCTGGGAAGTCCGAGGTCAAATGTTCTGATAGCAACTGGTAGTAGCTGGGCAAGACCTGATAAGAGCATACTGGAAAGATAAGCAAACGCGATCGCTAGTGCCAAGAGGCTAGCCGTATTTGATGTCATTTACAAAGTCAAGTGACTTAGCAAAAACAAGATCTAAAATGGACGGCTGCTGATTGCTCATGTACCTAGTGGGGAGGTCCACTAACTGGGGTAGAGGTACCTGCAGCATCAAGTTCAGCAGTTCTGTACCGAACTATTCCAGCGTCGAACTGCAAGATAGATCATCCCAACACACATCTGGGAGGTTGCATTCTCCCAGCACCAGACACTTGTACGCAGAGTGAGTGCGTATAAACTCAATGGTTCCATTGGAGGTGCTCATAGGGCTTGTACACTAACACGACCTCAACCTGAACCGAGGAAGCGCAAATCAAGACCGCGAGAGTCTTAACAGATTTGTCGAAAGACTGAAAAACGCTGGTCCTCAATACGTCGATGTGATAATTCACATAAAGGGCTACACCACCCCTTGACGGCCAGTGGAGCGGTCAGCGGGGAACAGTGCCTAGCCAGGCCCATATACTTCGCCATCTGTGATTTCCTCAGACAGCCACGTTTCAGTAAAAGCAAGTATATCTGGACGACATTTGTCTACGAGCAGACCCACCTCGCGCATCTTGTTCCTCAGGCTACGCACGTTACTAACTACTACTTGGAGGGCTTCAGCACGACCAGCCCTGGTTCGTGCGTAAGTTGTATAGGTACCGGAAAGGTGGAAAAGGACCGCCGCTTGACCACCTGAAAACCAACCAATCGGAGACCTTGCTCACCAGTTGCACACCGGGCTTTTATGCCTCTGATGGCTTCCGTTAACTTTAACCTATCCGCTAACGGAAGGTCTGGTTGCACACTAACGTTGGTTCCTTTGAGTTGGAAGGCAAATCTCAGTAAGGCCCTGCGCTCTTCTGGGGTGGAAAGGACTACCCTAAGCAGACGAGTCGAGGATTTGCTTGACCAACTGGAACTTTCCCCAATCTGATGAGCTTCCTGACAGTAACGTCAGGGAAACCTGGTGGTAAAAGCCGTAGCGAAAAATCGGAAGCCAGCAAATGGGTATTGTCTAGCTGACACAAACCGACTTGCCCTACACAACACCCGACAACCTTTCTAAATACAAGGGCAGCTATGTTTTTAATTATCTTACGCGCTGCACCCAGTCAAACGGTAGTATCGTCATTCCGAAAATGTGGGTTCTACAAATTTTGTCTAAAGTATACTAAAAGCATAAACAAAAATATTTAATCTGTTATTGTGTTCATATTAAAAGCTTGTAATGGAGTAAAACTACGTACTGCGTTTGTTGATACGCACTACTGCTAGTTTTTGGAAGGTTATTTGCTTCGAGCTGCCTTTAGTCTTCTTCGTTAGTATCGCACGAAGGAATGGCTGCTCGCTCAACTCTAATCGTGGCTGGTAGATCCTGCGAGCTATCAGCGACGAAGAAGCTAGAGAAACTTTTGTTCCATTGTAAGCCTATTTTCATGGTGGATTCGCGATTATCCATGCTGTGTGTTTACTTTATCATGTCATACGGCCAATAATAATATTTGACCAATAGGCCCCATGTTTTGCTTTCTTTTTATGCGTCTGTGTAATACTTTGTGAAACATGTTTCATATCTTTTAAGTGGCTTTTGTACTTGTAAATTTTGCTATAAATTTAAGCTCATAAAACGAGTTTCCACTGAATGATTGATTTGCGTTCAATTTCGATCTGATAACCAAACGGTTCTCGTCCGAAGTAGTGACGAGGGTATAAACTGGACGGAAGCTGCTACCCAAAAAGCACTTAGTAGCACTTACGGATAATCTTCCTAATTATCTTAATAATTCCTGCATCTTTATGATCGTTCAAGCAGTGACGGTATTGTAAAACCAGCGAAACTGTACCAACGTCCGAAAACACTGTATTCCTGCGACATTAAACCTTCTATGTGCGGCAGTTGTTACAATGCTATTACATGTCAACATAACATTGGTAATGTTTTTCTATACAATTAACCAATTTTAACGACGTTAATGGCTCCTGCTTCTCTACAGTTCGACATTCTGCGTCTGATCCTTTAACGGTACTACTGTGTTTTGCAACTAAAAAGCATATAGGTTAACAACTGCTACAAAGTGTTTGGAAGCAAACAGCCTAATTAGCCTACGAAGTTCTTTTTCGCGTACAACTAATGGCTTTTGATGCTTTCTATTCCTGCGTGCCGGTTTCACTCCGACCCCTAATGGAAATCAGAACTTCGTCCGTTAGTTTTGGCTAACGGGTGGTTGATTTATGCAATAATGTCCTACTGTGACATCCTTTATTGTATATACTTACTGCGGTTTATTTTCGCTATCCTTTTTATTTCTTTTGATTACGGCCATCCAGAGCTAAAAGAATCTGCGCATTCGTGGTTTCGTAACTCATCTGCATACTTGTTTATCTACTAGAATTATTTTCGACTCAACCTCTGCCTGTTTGCCTTACTCACTTGTGCATACAGCTAATGCACTTTTAAGGCATGTCTTTACGCACTGATATCGAATCGTATTTTTCACCACTTGAGCCTCTACTTGCTGCATTGCGAACTTCCTACTACCACCTCACTTCGTTGCGTTTACTGTACATCTTTATGACTAATTCAGTATTCCCACTCACTAACGATGTAAATTCTGCCTCTATGCACCACACATACGCACCACATGCTTTCTTTCCTTCCACCAGTTATGACGCTCATTAATGTCGAGGTGCGCTCTACTCTATTTTATCTCCCTTTATTGTGTCGTCGTAATTTAGGTTTATTATTTTGTTAGCAGTAAATTTGGTGATACGCTTACTGCCTCCTTACTAAATGTCTCCGTCTGGGCAACCTGCCGATGTCATTGATTATCCGCTTGAAGTAATCGGAAGAAGTACTGCGGATATTTTGAATGGACAAGCGGCTTCTCGATTTCCTGTCTGTTGGTTGCTTTCGCGCACGTCTCAGCAGGGGATTCTGTCTCTCTCGTTTAGTGTCATGAATGAGTTATAGAATCCACTGGTTACTTTGATATTTTGTTGCCTGCTGTTGTTCCACTAGTCTGCAATACTCTCATTTATTGCAGATGCGTTTAACTCGGTCCAACTAAATGACTAATCCAAGCACCAAAGTGCGGTGAAGCTAGATCCATTACCCGCGTCGCCAAGATGATAATTATGATGATAATAATGATAATAACAATAATAATAATCAGAGCGATGAGGGAATGAGGTAAAACGCATGTAGAATACAAAGAAAAAGAATTGCAAAGCATTGGCTGGGGAAGCTTTTCCCAGAGGATGTTGATGACTGCAATAGACAGTATATTTGTGCCTGGAGCTTGGCGTTTACATGATGTCGGTTGAGGTCGCTAATGTGACTAATCCTTAGGTCTCAAGTTATGACGACAGCATGTATCAACAACCTCAGTCATTTTTCATACTGCTATTCCAGTTCATCGATTGGCTGCCCCTTTGTTTTGCTCTTCTAGACGCCGCAGCATCACACAATTTACCTCTAATGAAGGCCGCCAACGTTCACTTGAAGGACATGGTCGAACCAACTTGGGCTGCACGATAGTTTTTTTCAAATGCACTAACTGACGGATGGTATCATAGCGGTACCAATTACTTCCACTCTACATAAGATATACTCAAACGCGCATTGTTATCCCTGAGTCTATCCAAAAGCGTCTGCTCGCAGACCTGGTCCGACCGTAGAACGGATGCGCTGTCCGAAATTTTCAGCTGGTCACACAGGTTGAGTGGCGGAGTTATTGTTCGTTTTAATCACGTTGTTACAGCGGGGAGAGAGAATATTAAGCAACTTTGATATTCTCCTTTTATCGTGGAGAGCTCAGAAGACAACTTATACCGCAACCCGGTCTCCGGATTTGCGTTAGAGATTTTAGTGCAGAAAGAGAACTTTTTAGCAAACGCTTTAATAGTAGGTAGTACCATACGCTTGCACAAACAACTGAATGGAAGGTGTCTCTTAACTCAAATGCTATAACAGATAACCTAGACTTGTATGGCTATTCCAGTACTTTGCTAGTTGTTAATATGTTACGACGGCCTTTTTTATGCTGTGGCCAGTTTGCACTATTGCTTTGATTCTAATCGTGTCCGGTGGATCGCAGCATAATGGCATGTATGAGTATTTCAGAGTTCACCTCCGTATTCTCGTTGCCCACCTGTTTATGCGTTCTATGCAGTTACTTCGTCTAGCTGGGCAGAACCATGAGGTAACTGAGCATAACGGCATTAAGGCTGGAACATGTTGTCTTGTTGGATAAGGAGCTCAGGATGGTCTATCTCAGTGATTGGATACCATGTCGGAAAACGTAGCCGGTTTTTTTACATCCATCCCGATTCTTCTTTTATTTTTATTAACTTACTTTCTTTACCTTTTGCCTACGTACTACCTCTTTTTCCTCTTCTTTGATAACTGGTATTACCCTAGAGACGCGAAGCGTGGCAACTGGGTCCACCGTACTCCGATACTCGGAACTTAATTGTTCAGCTGTACTGAACTGTACTGGGAAGTTTAGAGACAGTAGAAACATGGCTAATACTTCGCTTGTTTTCTTCCCGTTCCTTTTTTTGAACAATGGGTACCGACTGACAATCGTCAATCTGATAGTACCTCTTTGGTGCCTTATGTAGTATTGTGTGGAGCGGTCAAACGAGTCGACATTTTGTATACTCTTTCAAGGATGATGGGGAAAGGTAGTCAGGTCTAAACGTCGTGATTTGCTTTAGTGGTTTACGAAGTGGTTTCCAGTGTAGAAAGGCCGGACGTAAACGTTCTACTCAAGTTCAGCTGGTTCAGAGGATGGTGTCATAGTAAGCCTGTTGAACTGCTACTCAGATGGCTCTGCCAAACAATTTAGTCAGTGTATCTGAGAGTGGACTAACTGTCCATCTTTATTAGCTGTCATTTCACTAACTGAGCTTTTCTAACTACCCTTCCCGCACGGTGAATAACCGTTTATGTGCAGCCCGTTTGACGACATCAGCTAAGGTTGATTCACGAAGTAGTACAAGACGCTGTTTGTTTGTGGTTTCCGCTTATGCCCCCACTGACTGCACTTCAAATGCTTTCAAGGACACATTCTATCACGAACTGAACGCGCTGCTACGCAGTGCTACTAGTTCAGATATCATAGTACTGGCAGGGAATATGTACGCACAAGTAGGGGCGTCTGAGCTCTTCAGAAGCTCAGCTGGGTGGTAATTATGGGCTTAACTTCGACCGTACGGACAACAGCGAGCGTCTGCTGCAACTGTGTGTGGAGCACTAGTTGTTTCTTAGTAGCACTGCTTTTAGACACAGTGGGCGCCGAAGTGTTACTTGGCGTCCTCCTGTAGCTGGCCAGCGATAGACCCAAATTGACCACATAGCCATACGTTGCAGGTGGCGTGGTTCCATCCTGGATTGACCCTCGTACCGGAGTACCTGCGTGTACTCTGATCGTTTAGTACGATGTCTTTTCTCCATGAACTTTACCGGAAGGCGCACCAAGCGTCACTTTCGATTGGCAACTGAGTAATTGTCTCAGTTCTCGGTCAGGCAAGCCTATCAAGACGCACTGTATACCAAACTTTTACTGTCTTGTTCTAATGACACTGAGCTTTAGTGGAATATACTCTCGGCCGCCATGCAAGACGCAGGAGTATCTGCTTGTCGCACTATCAATGGTCACCGCAACTGTCACTGGATATCCGAGAGGTCGGTGAACCTGTTGGAATGTAGTAGAAACCTCCCGGCTGGCTCTGAGCATAATATGACCGGACGGGCTTTGAGGCGCGAACCATAGCAGAACTTACGTGCTGACAAGGAAGCCTGATGCACCAGTAGGGCTCAAGAAATGGAGGAGGCAAGAGCAGTAGGCATTTACCGCAAGCTCTTTCAGCTAATCCGCACCACCGGTCCCAAAAAACCAGACGTCAGTGAGATAATCAGACACAGCGCAGGTACACTGATACATAATAAGGAGCGCTGTATGGCTTGTTGTACGGAACACTTGCAAGATAACTTCATTTGGCTCCCTGCTTCCGGACCACTTCTTACTCAGGTGATGCAGGACGAGCCATGGACGGTTAGTTTAGAGCCTCCGTCGGACGTCAAAGTCCGAAACGCGATAACAGCCCTCAATCATTTTCGTGCCGCTGGCCCGGATTCCCTCTCACCTGCACTATTTAAGGATGGAGATGAAGTCCGCTGCAAAGCACTATTCGAACATATCTGGAAGTGTCCTGGCTAATTGGAGCGAATCGATTATAGTGGCAATATACAAGAAGGGCAGTCGCACAGGCTGTTCTAATCACAGGGGTATTAGCCTAACGCCTGTTGTGACAAACTATACTCTATTCTCGTTCGTCGCCTCATTGTGGATGGGGAATCTCGGATTAGGGAAGAGCAGGCATGTTTCCGTTTAGGGCGTCGCTGTATAGACCATGTA